ACTGTTTCTGTCTCTCTCCAGAGAGTACACACACCCTATGGCAAAAACCCTAAAAAACATTTTAGAAAAAGGATAAAGAATATATCAAGGAAAAAAAATCTTAAACCAGGAATAAATATGGTCATAAAAGGCAAATTAAAAATTACAGAATCCCAGAACTCCTTTTCATTTCTTAGAGCTAAATATTTATGGAAAGAGTTCATTGGCTTCCTTTTTACTTAAGGTTCCTTTCTTTGGCGTAGAGGGTTTTGCCTTAGGGTGCGTGTGCTCGCTAGAGAGAGAGAGAGAGAGAGAAAGAGGGAGAAACAGTGAGAGGAAGAGGGAGAAATCTGCCCCTACGGGGATGGCTCTGCTGCAATTCTTTCTTCGTTCTCCTCCCGGGATCCTGGGCATGCATGCATGCACATTCGCCTGGTGGGAGTTTCAAGCCATCAGGTCCAAGACTCAAACCACGGTTGGCCATGTGGGAGTCCAGTAATGTAACTGTGACACAATCTGCTGGCCCCAAGGTTCCCTTTAAAAACATTTAAATCTTTGGGCCAGCAGGTGGTACGAGGGTTAAGGAGGCTGGATCTCACATGGCTGACTGCACATCTAGTCCTGGACCTCATGGCTTGAAAAACACACCAGGCACATGTGCATGTGTAATTAAAATCTCAAGAAGAGAATGGAGGAGAGATTACACTAGGGCCATCTTCCCAGGGGTAGGGAGAGCGATTTCTTACTTTCCCTCTGTCTCTCTCTGTTGAGCATTCATAAGCTAAAAAAAATAAATAAAAATATAAGTGAAAAAAAAAAAGCTTCATTTCTCCAAACATCAAAGACTGTATCCTAAGTTGCTGGACTCCCACATGCCCAACTGACATTTGAGTCCCGAACTGTACAGCTTGAAAATTATGCCAGACACATGTGTATACATACCCAAAATCCTAGGAGAAAGGAGGAGAAGGAATTACAGCAAGGCCAACCCCCCATAAGGGGTGATTTCTCACTATTCTATTCTCTCTCTCTCAGAGAGCACATGTGCCCTGTGGCAAAAATCAAAACCCAAACCAAACAACCCTACCATGAAAGTGTGGAATGCGAGAATGAGGAGTACAGGAGGAGGGTGGTTCTGAAAATAGCTTATAGAAGGCACCCTCTTGACAGCTCTTCACTTCTAATTAAGCAAAGGAAAAAATGTATATCAGCTCTTCACTTTTATTTTTTCCTTTTTTTAAAGGGTAATACCAGGTAGGCAATCTAGTGGTTTACCCAGTTTTTTTGTTTTTTTTTTGGGGGGGGGGGTTTGGGGAGGTTTTTGCTATATATAGGGCACATGCATTCACCAGAAAGACAGAGAGACAGAAAGCAAGAAATCACCCCTTAGGGAGATGGTCACACTGCAATCCCTTCTCCCCCATTCTCCTCTCAGGATCTTGGGCACGCACACACATGTGCCCAGTGTGAGTTTAAGCCACAGGGTCCGGGTCTCAAACCACGGTCGACTACATGGGAGTCCAGTGACACAGTCATTACACCAACTGCTGGTCCCCAGCTCTTCACTTCTAATAAAGAAAAATATATATATAAATCTTCAACATACTACTTGTAGTATAAATTGCATCCTTTATAAAATATATACTTACTGAAAACCTACTTCATGTTAAGGTACTAAGTTGGGTTCTGAGGAAAGCAAAAAGGTGATTAAGAGACTGAAAATACCAAAAGTTCCTACACCAAGTTTAGTAAATATAAAAAAAAACTAACACTATGACTTAATTTAGTAACTAGATTTTTAAAAGATTACACTGTGCCTTAATTTATTAGTCTATAAAAAAGCAATGTTTGCTCTACATATTTCCCAAGTACGTAAAGATAAATTAAGAATATATGTAGTTGGGCCAGCAGGCAGTAGGATGGCTAAGGTGCTGGATCCCACACAGTCAACTTTCTGGTTTGAGTCCTAGGCCTGGTGGCTTGAAAAACACACATGGCACTTGTGTGCACATGTGTCCAAAATCCCGAAAGTAGAATGGAGGAGAAGGGATTGTGGCATTGGTCACTCCTCCTGGGGAAGGTGATTTCTCACTTTTCCTCTTTGTCTGTCTCTCTCTGGCGAGCACATGCACTCTATAGCAAAAAATTTTTTTTAAATAAATGAAAAATATATGTAGCTTCCCCAACTATGCAATACTGGATCCATATGGGAAGGCCAGGGTTGGAATCCTGGGTTGATCTGCATATGATGGGTAGTAATCACAGCTGGCTGGAAAGGCTGGGAAGAGGACAGGAAACAGGAGGTAGGATCATGGCATGACCAGACCCTGTCAAGGGTATCTGTCCCTCTCCTTCTCGCTCATGAAAGAAAGAAACTTTTTTAAAAGGAATTTATGTAAAAGTACTTTATAAACCTGGGACCAGCAGATGACGTAATGGTCACATCACTAGACTCCCACGTAGTTGACTGTGGTTTGAGTACTGAACCCACGACTTAAAACTCACACCAGGAGCAGGTGCATGCATGCCCAAGATCCCAAGAAATCTTGGGAGAAGATAGAGGAGAATGGAGGAGAAGGGATTGTGGCATGGCCATTCCCCCTGGAGGGGTGGGGGTGATTTCTCACTTTCTGTCTCTGTCTCTCCGGTGAGTGCATGTGCCCTATAGCAAAAATCTCTCTGAAAAATAATAATAAAGAATACTTAAATTATGTAATACTTGCTATCTCTATACAGATAAAGATTACAGTAGTTAAAAGAAAAAAAGAAAAACAACAATAACAAAGGTGTATAGCTTCAGAGTTAGGTATAAATAAATTCCCCTAAGGTGGTTGGTCTGATGCACTAAAGACTGTTAGGAAACATTTGAACCAATACAATTAGGGTATTCTCAGCATCTCACTCTCTGGGGGAAATGCTGTATTTTAGTCACATGGATATACACACTACTCCCATAATTTGAAGCACACTATAGCTAATTAAAAGTATGGGGCCAACAGATGACATAATGGTTATATTGCTGGGCTCCCACGTAGTCAACTGCAGTTTGTACCTCACATCTGGTGGCTTGAAACTCATGCCGGGTGCATATGTATGCATGCCCAAAATCCTGAGAGGAGAATAGAGAAGGGATTGGGGTTTGGCCACCCCCTCCCCGGGGTGTCTTTCTCTGTCTCTCTGGTGAGCGCACACGCTCTATAGTAAAAATCTCTTAAAGAAAAAGAAAAAAGTAAAAGTATTCCTGACACACTTCCACAATAGCTTATTTCAGCCAGTGTATTTGTAGTCTCTGGTATTCTACACAGAATACAAAACAAAAGAAAACATTTAGATTTAGATTCCATTTCAACAGTACAGTCTGCTCAACTTGCACGGATATGGAAACACCGATTTTGGGAGTGCAATAAATGTTTACATAATCTAAAAGTCTATGGTTTTACTGTATAAATTACTGCTATCAAAATATTTCATTAAAAAAGTAATCTTATCCCTTATCACCCTTATTATAACGGTCCCTTGTATTATGCAGTCTAAAATTAAATTACAAATAAAATAAAAGTCATGAGGTAATTGCAAATATATTTAATAGCAAAGCAATAAAGGTCAGTTTAAGTACAGAAAAATGTAGATACATTTATATAAGCACCTTCCAGGAAGTAGTTTGGCAATTTCTGCCCAACGATTTCCCAACCGCTTATGTGCCTCATAGATGATCCTGTCCTCCTCTTCTGTCCAAGAAGATTTCTTCACCTCAGGGTTCAGATGATTATGCCATCTTTCTCTGCACTGCTTCCCTATTCTTCCTTTTAAATGTTTTGCAATTAAAGACCATCGTTTTGGTCCATATTTCTGAACTAATTCAATAACCTAAGAAACAGAAAAAGTTTTAAAAGCATTATCTTAAAAGAATTCTAAAACATTCAAGAATACCATTTTAAATATGTGCATTAAATTCAAACCACAACTACAATTTACAAAAACCAATTTAATAAATACTCCTTTAGCATTTGCCAAGTTCCAAAATTTGATTCTGAACTTATCTAAAAATCTAAAGGGCTAGCAAAGTGACTTGTAGGGGCCGGCAGGTGGCGCAGTGGTAAAGGGTGCTGGACTCCCACATGGCCAACTGCAGTTCAAGTCCCGGACATGACAGCTTGCTTTCTCACTTTCCATCTCTCTCTCTCTCTCTCTCTCTCTCTGTCCTATCTGGTCAAATTAAAATACAGTTAAATACAATTATTAAAAAAAATGACTTGTAAGTTAAACTGCTTTCTTACAAAATTAATTTGAAAGAATAAAAATGTTGAGATTTGTGTATTCTCTACTCTTTTTTTTTTTTTGAGAGGTTTTTGCTTTAGGGCGCATGTGCTCGCCAGGCAGAGAGAGAGAGACATAGAGACAGAAAGCAAGAAATCAACCCCCAGGGGGGATGGTCACGCCACAATCCCTTCTCCTCCATTCTCCTCTCGGGATCTTGGGCACACACGCACACGCGCTTGGCGTGAGTTTTAAGCCACCAGGTCCAGGACGCGAACCGCAGTAGACTACATGGGAGTCCAGCGACATAGCCATTACGCTAACTGCCAGTCCCCTCTACTCTTAACATGTTTAAAAAAAAAAAAAAAAAAAAAAAAAACCTCCAACAGAAAGTCAAACAAACCAGTTTAGAAGAAGGAAGGATCTAAAGTGTTATTGGCAGGACCAGCAGTTGGTCTGGCTTTTTGGCGAGCGCACATGCCCTATAGCAAAAACCTCTCAAAAAAAAAAAAAACTTACTGGCTTTTCGTATTGTATTTTCTCACACTGAAACCATAGAGTACACATTTTAAGTTTGTTTTTGTTTTACCTAAAATGGCAAGAATAGCCAACCCACTTTACTTCATTGCCCTATGCCAAGCATCACCTCATAAACATTTTATAGTGGTAAAATATTTCAATTCAATTTATATTGATATTTTCACTACACGTGCATATTCAGTATCCTTAAAAAATAAAATTTTGGGACTAGCAGTTGGTGTAATGGCTATGTGGCTGGACTCCCACGTTGTCAACTGTACTTCAAGTCCCGCACCTGGTGGCTTAAACTCATGCTAGGCGCGTGTGCATGCGTGCCCAAGATCCTGAGAGGAGAATGGAGGAGAAGGGATTGCAGCGTGGCCATCCCCCCTGGGGGTTGATTTCTTGCTTTCTGTCTCTATGTCTCTCTGTCTTTCTGGCAAGCACACGTGCCTTATAGCAGAAACCTCTCAAAATTAAATAATAAAATAAAATTTCAGGTTTTATTAAATGTACTTTTAAACATGATCACATTTTTTTAAATTATCATTGGTCATCAAGTAAATCAGAGCAGAACTAAGCCTAGTGAAGTAAATTTTAACTTCCTTGAGTGAGAATAGGAATGTTCTAATTCCCCAACTACATTAGGAACTTACATGCCTCAAAGGGCATGAACACAAGAGGACAGAACCTCTTTTTGTTTTTCCCTAGATTTTTGTCATAGGGCATGTGTGCTTGTTGGAGAGAAACAGAGAAAGAGAAGGTAAGAAATCACCCCTCCCCCCAGGAGGATGGCCATACCATAATCCCTTCTCCTCCATTCTCTTGGAATTTTGGGCACACATGCCCATGTGCTTGGCATATTTTTCAAGTCACCTGGTGTGAGACTCAAACCGCAGTTGGCTATGTGGGAGTCCAGCGCCTTTACCACCATGCCACCTGCTGGCCCTAAGGACAGAAACTCTTATATTCTTCTCTATTTATTTTTTCCGTTTGCTATAGGGTATGTGCATCTGCCAGACAGACAAAGAAAAAGTGAGAAAAAAACTCTCCAGAGGGATGGCTGTGGTGCAATACCTTCTCCTTCATTCTCTTCTTGAGATTTTAGGCACGCGTACACACGCATATGCCTAGAGTTTTTCAAGCTGCTGGGTACAGGGCTTAAACCACACAGTCAGCCATGTGGGATACAGCCACCTTAACTACCATATCACTGGCTGGCTCTTTTTCCATTTCTAGTACAAAAAAAGTGACTTTGGTTTTTAAAATCACAAGTCCTTTGGAAACATTCTGATATCTAATTCTGGGGCTCCTTATAGGTCAGGAGGGAAAGTTAAGAATGACTTCCCTGGGCCAGCAGATGGCGTGGTGGTTAAGGTCCTTGATGCCACATAGCTGGCTCCATAGTTCAAGTCTTGGATCTGGCAGCTTGAAAAACACACTGAGGGACCAGCAGTTAGCAATAATGGCTATGTCGCTGAACACCCATGTAGTCGAACGCGGTTCGAGTCCCAGACCTGGTGGCTTAAACTCACACCAGTCGCATGTGTGTGCGTGCCCAAGATCCCGAGAGGAGAATGGAGAAGGGATTGTGGTGTGGCCATCCCCTCTGGGGGAGTGATTTCTTGCTTTCTATCTCTCTGTCTCTCTCTGTCTTTCTGGCGAGCGCACGTGCCCTACAGCAAAAACCTCTAAAAAAAAAA